ACCTCCAGAGAAGAACTCAAACCTGAAATCAGTCTGTGGCTGTCCCACGGGAGAGTCAGTGTTCCTATATCAGAGCTAGGAAAGCGGTGGAGTGAGCCCAGGTGGAGAGCTTTCCAGAGGCTGTAGTTCTTAACCCTCAGCTGCTGATCAGGGGCAGCAGAGGACTTCCCTGGGGAGGAGCATGTTCTGATACAAGCACTTTTTGCCCAGGACTCTGTCCTGTCTTCCTGCCCCCTTTTGGTGCTCTCTGCTCTCTTCAGGAACCCTTGAGCAATGAACAATTTGGGGAAATTGACCCAAACTACTCTGGAGCTGATGGTGCCTGGTTGTCTAATACAGGACTGCTGTCTGCTTCCCTCCCACCTCAGACTCCCTCTCAAGGACCTCCAGGAGGGAGTGAAGTCATCGTTTTCCAGTGGCCAGTAAGTGGGAAGTCCCCCTGGGCCCCAGAGGAAGGATCCTTCCCTTTTCCCCAGCTCCAGCAGCCTCTCAGCCCTGCCTTGCACAGAAGCTTCTGGTTAGACAGTGACTGTTGGGGCCGCATCTGTGGGTGTCCTGTCCCCACGCAGCAGAAGTCCCCATCCATATCTGGACAGAAGCTGAACTTCTGCTAGCTCCCTGAGGGGACGGAGCCCAAATTGTCCTGGGAACAGCCAGCTCTGACTGGAATTCAGGTCTCAGCAGGCATGTCAGAAATAAGGCACATCTGGAAAAGTGTTTGCTGTAGACCACTGCTGCCAACAGGGCCAGACCATGCCTGTGCCCGAATGACCAGTCCCCTCTCAGGGATATGGAAAGGAAAAGGGAGGAGGCAGGCCTCCCCTGATTTAGCCTGGCGCAAGTGTGAAGGCCCTGGAGGCTGGACAAAACTGTGCCATTGCCCATGGCAGCAGAGAGTGAAGGGGCAGGCTCACTGAGTCAGGAAACAGCTCTGGATGGGAGTGAAGGGGCAGCCCCACCGGATCAGGACACAGTGCTTGATGGAGACAGGATTCAGAGCTGACTGGACCCAGAGGGGTGAAGGGTGGCCTGCTATGCTCCCAGTGCTTCCTTTCCCACCCCCTCCCTCACACTCCTCACGTATTATACACGGGGTGGGGGGGGGCTTGGATGTGGAGACCACCTCCTCTCTCCTGCTCATTGTCCATCTCACATCCTCCTGGGACCCAGCTCCCCAGTCCTCCTTTTTTTGTTCTTAAGACAGTAGAATAGGGGTTCATTGTGGTAACCAGGCCCAGCAGGAGCCTTTCCTATTGGGTGTCACAGGAACTGAGTGGACCTGAGTTCAAAACCCAGCTGTGGCATTCTCTGGCAGCCCGCTTAAAATGGGAGCCTTCAGAATTGTGGAGAAGGCCAGCTGAAGCCTATGTTGGCTGGATTTGTGGAAAACCAAGGAGAAAGGGGTGGAGAAATTTGGGTGTTCCTAGGTTTTGGTGCAGAGACCTTTCTTTTTCCCTATCTTAACCAACAGCCATGGCCACAGAAGCCCTTTTGCGTCCTGGGAGATAGCGGGGTGAATGAGGTCACTTTGTTTGATAATGTCTCATTCTGATGGCGCCTCCTGCTGACAGCAACATAATTGTTCAAAGGACGGGTGTTATGATGGTGGCATTTAGGGCAGGGGCCAGGTAGACATGGAGGAGGGTCAGGGCATCTAAGGAACTGAGGACGTTTTACTTGGGACCCTCATACCATCCTGATGATGAATTTGCCTGAGCAAAAATGTTTTGTCTAAGTTATTTTCCCAGACTCTTTTATCCCTGCTTCTGTGACCTGGGCGGGGCCAAGTACACACTCACATACACAAGCCCTGCCTGGTCACCTGCTAGGTCATCCACACAGGGTCTACTCAGAGCCTGTGGACTCTCCTGCAAAAATGTAAGCTCGGGAGAGTAAGACACTGGTCTGTCCAGCTCATGTTGTACCTTTACTGCCCAGACAGTGTGGAACGTCATATGTGGTTGTTGTTGTTGTTGCTATGTGCGGTCGAGTCGCTTGTGACTCATAGTGACCCTATATACAATAGCCCTGAAACCTGCTCTATCTTGTGCCAACTTTACTGTCTCTGACACACCTACCATCATTACCCAAGTCACTGAATCAATTCATCTCATCAATGGTCTTCTTCTTTCTGTCCCTCCACTCTTTCAAGTGTAATGTCCCTCTCCTTGCAACATGCCCACAGCTATGTCAGATGGAGCTTCAGAATGCGTGCCTAAAAAGAACAGCCTGGCTTCATCCTCTCTAGGACGAACCTGTTTGTTCTCCTGACAGTCCATGGTATATTCAACACTCTACTCCAGCACCACAGCTCAAAGGCATCAATTCTCCTTTTATCATTGCTAGTCATTGTTCAGTTCTCTGACATATAGCAAGCAATTGCCAAGACTATGGCCTGGATCAGGTGCACCTTATTCTCCATACTGACATCATTGCTCTTCAGTACTCTGGAGAAGTCCCTGATAGCATTCTTTCCCAAAGCAATTCATCTCTTGATTTCTTGGCTGCTGGTACCAAGAGTGTTGATTGTGGAGCCAAGCAAATTTAAGCTGTTAACAATCTCAATCTCTTCACCATCTATCATAATGTTACATTAGTATTTATTGGATAACTATTAGTATGTGTCAGGTGACTCTTACTCACATGCATGCAACTTCAGCCACATGGATATTAAGCACAGACCCAAGAGCACAGACAGGTGCACACAGGCCACAGACCCTGACTCGGCCATGGGGACTGCCAGGCACGTAGGTGCACAGAGGTGCACACAGGCTCATGTTCCTGTCTCTGTTGTACTGTCTCCCACTCTGACCTGGTTCCTTCTGGTGGCCTGGTGCTTGCTTGCTTTCTGACATCTTCCCTGAGCCCTTTTGGCTGGGTCCCAGAACGTGCTAGTGTCAGAAATCACTCTTTAACCCAGCAGAGGCAGGGAGAGGGTGACCCCTGTCAGAAACTGGGAAGCTGAGGGGCAAAGGCAGAGGGACAAGATCTGCAGTACAGAACAACTTTGCTCCTGGGCTCGTTGTAGGCTTAGGGCAGTATTACGCTTATCTATAGCCTCAGTGTGAAGGAATCCCAGCTCTGAGGAGTGAGTGTGGCCCCCAGGCCCCTGTCTTGCAAGGAGAACATCCCTCCATGGACCAGTGTGGCCATCAGGATGTCCAGACCAGTTACTGGGGAGACCTGCTGGGGGGGGAGCACTGAGGAAGGCTGCCTGTGTAAAGGATGTGGAGGAGGTTGTGGGATGTGAATCAATGGGCTGGCCTGTCACGCAGACGGCTAATAAGGCATGATTACTTCCGGTCATCGTGCCTGATACAGGAGAGGGTCAGTGAGAAATGGTCAACAAGATGGTTTGACCTGGTGTCTGTGTCTCTGGGCTCAAACACAGCAATGGTTGGGAGGCTGGCACATGACCAGGTGCTTTGTCCTACTTGAACTTAGTCACTCTGAACTGGAACCAACTTCACAACTCTGGCTGGCTCCCTGCCTCAGGTCGGCCCTGTCCTAGACTTACAGGAACTTAGGTGAGTACAATACCCCTCCTCCAACGACCTCCTGCCCTCAGCAATGAAGCTTCCACCACCCCTAAATACCAGGGTGGCCTGGACCATTCGCCTGACAGCCAAAGTGGGCGCTGTGTGCTGCAGCTGGGCAGATGACGGAGGCTGGGTAAGGACTCTGCCCCTGGCACACTCAAAGAAGCCCTTCTCCTCACTAGGCCTCAGTTTCCTACCTATAAAATGGGGAGCAGTCAACAAGTCCATGTAGGGGCCCAGCAGGCAGGCCACCCCCTGGCCATAGCCCAGACACACAGATGTACTGTGAGCCGCTGGGTCCTCCCTGCCCATCTTCCAGGCCCAGGGCTCCAGGTTCTCTCTCAGTCCCTTTGGTTGTGTTCAACCTCTGGGTCGGGGATGCTGAGGCACAGGGTGGGCTATGAGAGTCTGCTGGGCTCCTCTTCTCCCTCTCTTGGCTTGCTCTCTCATCACACATCCTCTGCCGCTTGCTTCTTGCCCTGGGTCTTGTATGCTGTCCTTTTTGCGTCCTCTCTTCCTCTCCTGTGTGCCCAGTGTCTCTCATCTCTTCCACTCTGGCAGTGGCTCAGCTCTTTACTCTCTCTCTGTCCCTCCCCCTCCCATTCTCTCCTCCTGTCTCCTCTTCCGCTTCACTCCTCTCTGCCTGGACCCTTCCTTTCTCCATGTGAGGACTCTGCTCTGCCCAGCTCTCCTCCTGCTCTGCCAGCTTGTCTGCCTTTGAGGAGGAAGGCTTCACTTGTCCCCATCTCTTTCCTGGCCCCGAAGTCTTTGGTTTCATGACTCTATCTGGAAGCTTCTGCATCTGTGGCTTCCCAGTCTCCTTGTCTACCTCGGGCCTCCCGGACCACAGAGCAGAGGGCAGTCCACAGCCAAGCTCCTTGGACCTTGTTCTGTGGCCACCGGATAGGAGCTGCAGGATGTCCCCCAGATAAAACTCAGGCTGGGCCTGGCTTGAGTGTAAGTGGCCCAGGCTGCTTGCTAACTCCCAGGTCTGCAGACACTGGGCTTAACCCGCCATGTGCCTGCCTCCTGAGAGGGCAACGTCCACCCGCTGGCCTCTGGTCCGCCCACCCCGCCCCATCCAGAGGCCCTGCTCCTATCCTTGGGGAAGGCGCCCCCTGGGTTTCGTGCTCAGGGCGGGAACATTTGGATTTCTCCAGCTCCCTGAGTGGACCCACTTGGAGGAATTTCCCAAAGCCTATTAGAGCAGCGGTGCCTCCTGCCTGCCTTCTCGGGCTGGGCAGGGCTGAGGGCGGAGGGAGAGAGAGGGAGGGGGCGAGGAGGAAGGGAGAGAAGTTGGCAGACCGACAGCAGAGCTGTGTCTGTATCCATCGCCCAGGAGGCCCGTGTGGTGTGGGGCGGGCCAAGAGTGAGGAGCGGCCTTCCTCCCTTTGTGCTCCCCCTCCTTTCCTCCCCCTAGGGCCCTATAAATAGGCCCAGCCTGGGCTGTGGCTCAGCTCTCCGAGGGAGTCCTCAGTGCACACCGGGCAGCAGCGTCCGCCAAGCCCCCACCCCCACTGCCAGCATGGCCAGCGAGTTCAAGAAGAAGCTCTTCTGGAGGGCAGTGATGGCCGAGTTCCTGGCCATGACCCTCTTCGTCTTCATCAGCATCGGTTCCGCGCTGGGCTTCAACTACCCGGTGGTGAGCAATCACACGACGGGCCAGACCCAGGACATCGTGAAGGTGTCGCTGGCCTTCGGGCTGAGCATCGCCACGCTGGCCCAGAGCGTGGGTCACATCAGCGGCGCGCACCTCAACCCGGCCGTCACGCTGGGCCTGCTGCTCAGCTGCCAGATCAGCATCCTGCGAGCCATCATGTACATCATCGCCCAGTGCGTCGGGGCCATCGTGGCCACCGCCATCCTCTCGGGCATCACCTCCTCTTTGCCCAACAACTCTCTCGGCCGCAATGGGGTAAGTGTGGTGGTCGAGGGCTTGAGGGCTTCTAGAGCTGGACGCAGAGGGCCTTGGTCTACTCCTGCCCATTATCTAGGTGGAGACACTGAGGAACTGGGACATGTAGAGGTTGCTAGAGGTCATACTGAGCATTTAGCCAGAGTTGCAGCTGGAACTCAGCTTTTACCTGCAGCCTGTTTTCTGCCAGGCGCAGTGGGCAAGCTGAGACTCAGGGAATAAAGGTCTTACCAATGTCCCCTGTGGGGCAGCTAGTGCCTGGATGCAGTTAACCTTTGGGCCAACAGTTTCTTGTGCCTTGCTGCTGAGCTACAGTTTCTCATCCACCTCAGCTCTGCCTGTGCTGCCAGCTCCCTCCGGTTGCAGCCCCGGGCTCTGAGCAAGCTCTGGCCTCTGTCCCCAGTCACCCTGACCCAGGTGCCCACTTGGCTGCAGACAGCCTGCGGGTGTGCGAACAAGACTTCCGTGTGACACAGTCTCCAGCTGCTACTCGCAGCGCCTGGCACTCACACAGGTCCCTGAACCAACTGCCTCCAAAGAGAAAGAGATCTCTTGCTCCTCTATATCCCAGGAAAGAGATGCAGCGATAAGAGCATTTTCTGGGGAAGCTTAGAGGTAGTTTTCCTGGATTACAAGTGGGGGAGGGGTTGGGGTGGTAACAAGGAGCTGTGGACACCCCACTTCCTCACTGAACTCTTCTCCACGTCCATGGTCACTATAAAGTGTGCACGTGCGTGCATACACACACACACACACACACACACACACACACACACACACGTTCCAGCATGGGCTCTGAGTTTGCTGACCTGTGTGCACACCTGCATATGTTTCTGGAAATACGCCCATAAACATACTTGTGCTGCTGATAAGTACGTGTGATGAGTGTGTAACCGTGTAAGCCCACTCCTCCAGTTTCTTGCACAATCTGGGCTGGGGGCACTAATGACAAGCAAATGTTGATGACTGGGTGGCAGTTACGGAAAGGAATTCCTCCCGGGCTGCTTAACACAGCTAAGTGGCTTCTGGCTGAGGCTGCCTCCTGTCGCAGACCTGGCTTTTCAGACTCTCAGCCAAGCACAAACGCAGACAGAGGTTGGGCCACAACAGGGGCGATGTGACCTGAGAGGCTGAGTAAGGCTCAGAGGGGAGGCTGACAGATGTCTCAGAGACCTGAGAGGTAGGCAGTTCCCCATAAGGAGGGAGAGATGGAAAGAGACAGATTGATAGATGTGGAGAACTGAGGCGAGTGGGAGCCAGGCAGGGCAGTCAGCTGTGGGGGTATCCTGGGGGCTAGCGAGGGCTCCTAGGAGCCAGCAGAGGGTGTTCACAGCAGAGGTCCCCCCTCTGCTTTCCCAGACAAAATTCAGACCCAGCTGTGCTGCTGGAGGAAGCCTTGGTGTCTGGCAGGAGGGCAGCTGGCATGGCTATGGCAGAGAGGATTTGCACTTCTTTGCCCTGGTGACACCTTGCCCAGACCCCTTGTTTAGTCAACCTCTGCTCAGCCCTGGATTGAAGATTAGCTCTGAGGGCTGGAGTTTAGACTTTACCCGAAGAAGACGTGGCCGTGGTGGGTAGAAGGGACAGAGCTGGGGCTGGCTACTCTGGACCTCGTCTCTCCCGTGAGGCCAGAGCCTGTGATTTCAAGGAGGGCTTTCTGGGTGTGGCTAGGTGGAATGTGATAGGAGTAGGGACAAGGTCCCCACAAAAAAGAGCTGGGGGCATCCTAGTCAGTCTTCCTCCCTTCCCCCTCTCAGTGGCAGAAATTGGGCATTTGCTGGCAAAGGCTTTGCACTCCTTCCCCAGCAGATACGGGAGGGTGGGGCACTTTCTGTGCCCATCTTAGTCTGCCCACACCCTGCTCTGGTGCCCCATGCCTTCTTGAAGCTTTCTTTTCCATACTCAGTTTACACCTTGTAGATGAGAAAGGGAGAGGACAGCTTACAGCAGGGGCTGGAGAGACAGGCGCTTGGGCCCCACTCCTGCAGTGCTAACTTACTGGGCTGACTGAAGCTGAAGACCTTAAGGCTGAGTGAGGGGCTCCGGGGTCTGGACTCAAGGCTGGCTTTTGGGCATGCTCATCTGTCTGCAGACTCATGTTTGAATGTGCAACGCTTTCTAGGACGGTCTACCTGGGAGCGAAAGGGACTGAACCGTATGGGAATGTTTTGTGCCCTACCCCATCCAGAAATGGGAGGTTGAGGTTAGGAGTTACATTCCAGAAGCCCAAGTCTTGAGGCATAGTAACAGTAAAAGAGTCCCTTCAAAGACCAGTTGGACACTGGACCCAGGACTTGAAGTGACTTGGAGGGGTGGCCTCAAAGGCTCAAGAGAGACTGCTGTGCCCAGCAGGTGACACATACTGGCCTTCACACCCTTGGGGTGGCTCCATAGTCCCTTTGGCCCCAGGACCCCTTCTGGCTAAAACCTGGGTGGAGCAGATCACAGGCATGGAGATTTCCAAGGAAACTTGGGAAAGAAGTGGCAGGAAGTGTTTGGGGTGAGTCAAGGGGTGTCCCCTGGGGGCATGGAGGGGACAACTTTCTCCTCACTGAGTCAGGACTCCAGATCCGCCCTGGAGAGACCATGCTCCCTGTCTAGCCTGCAGGCTCCTGGCTGGTTTGAAGTGTCAAATCCCTGGTCACGAGTGAGGGGCTCAGAGACAGAGGCTGATGCCCTGACCTGTCTCCACGTCCACTCAGTCCTTAACTGACATCTTGTGTGACCCTCAATGTGTGGTTCTCACTGAAACATGGAGACAACGTGATGCTCAGGGCTTTGGGACGTGGACAAGACTCATGGTTCTGAAGTTCCAGCTTCTCTCCTCTGCTCCTGACTATCTCCTTCACACACACTGTCTGCAAGCACAGCTGGGCTGGTCAGGGCGCTGGGTGCGGATTCTGGGCTGAGTCAGCCCTGCTCCCTGCCTAGGAAGACCCATGGTCGTCGGCCGAGGAGCAAGATAAGCCCTGAGCACAGCTGCCCGAGATAGGAGGCAGCAGGCAGGTGTGATAAGCTGTGGAGGGAGGGCTCCCGGCCTTCCAGACTTGAGGGATGAGGCAAGTCAGGGAGGATCCAAGGAGGAGATAGATGCTCAGTGAGCCAGCGTGTGGTGAGGGCAGGGTCCCTGTGAGCCAGGGGGCAGTGACCTGAGTGCTGTTGGGTGCAGCTGTTTGAGGTCGGGTGGGGCTGTGGTGGGAAATGGGGTTGCAGAGGGGTGAGGCCTCGGGATTCAGGCCACTGTCTCTCTGAGTCATCGAGGAGTCTGCATCCCCCGGCTGCCCCAGAGCTGTGATTTGTGTCCCTGGGGGCTCAGGCACAAGGCAAACTTATGCTGTCTGGAGATGGTCATCAATTGTCCTACTAATTCTGGGCCTGAATGCCTGTGGTGTGTGTCTACTGGTTGCACCAGGGCCATGCCTCAGTATCCCTAGCCGCTGTGCCCAGCACCCCCTCCACCCCCACATTACTGCTTCCCACCTGGCTGAGGGTCCTCCTTCCTCTCCCAGATCTGAAGGCTGAGCTGAGGTAGGGGAAGCCAGAGTTTTCCAGTGTCTCTGGCCAGCCTGGCCCGCTGAGGGAGGCTCTGGGGGCTGGCTGGTGGTGCCACATCTGGGACATATAATTACCATTTCCAGCCAGAACCAGATGAGGGGGAGGCCTCAGAAAGAGGTGGGAGTTCTGCAACAGAAATAATAAGTTCTGCGGTGGAGACTTCCCTCGCGATGGAAAATTCTGAGGCTGTTTTCCCCATTAGAGCGTTTTGGAGAATGCCAGCCCACCCCAGGGGTGCCCACCTGACAGCTGGCCCCAGGGAGGACCCTCTAGAGAAAGCTTTGTCTATAGGGTGATTCCCTCTGAGAGGGAACATGACCCCCTGGGGTCTGCCAGTCTAAGGGGACTTAGCCTACCCCATAGCCTTGTGTGCCCTCCCCCACCTCCCCCACCCCACACCTCAACATCCCCTTTTCACTCCAGGCAGCTTTGCTGGTTAAACCATTTGGCTGGTTTAATTGGATCATCAGATTCCAGCAGTGCTCCTTATTTCTCGAGGGCCCCACACAGCAGAGTCAGCCTCCCAGAACTCCCTCTATGTCTGGCAGGACCCCTGCACCCCTAGATAATGTCACTGTTGCTGTGTACCATCGAATTAGATCGGACCCATAGCTGGCCTCCCAGCAGATTTCTCACCAGAGAAGATTGCTCATCTTTCTCCCAGGGAGCAGCTGGTTGATTCGAACAGTGAAACGTTGCATTGGCAGCACAATTCCTTTCTACTAAGCTGAGGAAACCTTTCCTGGCTAAGAATGCCTTCATTTCCTGCCTCCCCAAGGCCAATTTGAAAGAACCCAAATCTGAGTTCTTCCAAATGGCTGGACTTGGAAACCACACGTCTCCTTCCACCTTGTTGACAACATGGACAAAGAAATGTCCACGAGGCCTGGGGACATCCAGGGTCCTCAGGAAGGACTTCCCTTGGGGATCACAGCAGGCCCTGCACAGTACCCATGAGGTGTCCAGGGTACAGGATAAGGCTGAAGATCTCAGTTCAGGATGGCAGAGAGGATCCCCTCGACCCCCTCCCCAGTTCTTCCAGTGCTTGAAAGAGGCAGGTTTACACTTGTGCCTGGAGGATGTTGGCCGCCACTGGGCCAGTGAGCTCCCAGTCAATAAGGGTGTGCAAGCTGAGCCTGTGTGGTTGAAGCTCTGAGGTGTCTGCTTATGTGGGTGCTGCTGGGTGGCAGGAGGTCCCGATCATGCACCTTGTGCCATGTTCAGCTGAGCCCATGGGATCTCTGGGATCTGGTTTCCAGAGCCTTGTCTGGAGGGTGGCCACAGTCCTTGTAGGTGGGAGCCTATCATCTCTGGCTCGGAGCCACTGGGAAACTGAGGCCTGCAAGGGAGGGGAGATCTGTGTGAGGTTGCCCAGAGCTTCATAGTCCAGCCTCCCCCCTCCCCTTTCTGTTGCTCTAAAATGCATACACTCACAATGCATGTGTATATGCATGTACTCCCACACACATGCCACATACATGTACACGAGGTACACGTGGGGACACGGAGCACATTCTCAAGGCCTGTGGTCATGCTCAGTGCTGGCACCATAGCTAAGGGGCACGGCCCCAACAGAAACTCTTCCTCTCTGAGGTGGGGAGATGGGGCTGTCCGGCACTAAGGAAAAGAGGGAGAGGGAAGAAGGAAGCCCGTGCTTTGTGTATTGTTTCATTTCAGGAAGATGAGATGGCTTCTAGGAGTAAATAAAGGACCCTTTGAGACCCACTGCTCTCTTGCTCAGGGCATGTCTTTCTCCCCTTTCTCCCTCCAGCCAATGCAGGCACCTGCGTGGGGGTGTGACCCACAGGGACACTGATGCACTCAGAGATGTCATCAGACACATGGCTGCTGCCGTCAGGGACACAAGCCTCACAGAGATGCCTGACATATTACACAGAGACCCCTGATCTACTACAGAGACTCCCTGACATACCATACAGAGACCCCTGATCTACCACAGAGACCTCCTGACATACCACATAGAGAACCGTGACATCATAGAGACCCCTGACATTCCACAAAGAGGCCCCTAATGTACTACACAGAAAACTACCATAGAAACCCCCTGATGTACCACATAGAGACACCTGACACAGCTCATAGAACCCCTTGACATACTACCCAGAGATCCCTGACATGCCACACAGAGACCCCTGACATACCACACAGAGACCCCTGCCTTTATACAGAGATCCCCTAACCTCTGACATGACTCACAGAGACCCCCTGAGATACCACACAGAGAGCCCTGACTTTATACAGAGATCCCCTCACCTCTGACACAACTCATAGAGACCCCCTGAGATACCACACAGAGTTCACTTTGGTAAGAAACAATGACTCATGCTTTTCACAGCTAGTTGAGGTGTTTTTGTTTTCCAGTGCAGGATTAGTTTATGTGACTGCTCCTCAAAAGAAATGTAAAATTTCTAATTTGTGGATGCATATTTTTAAATAGTTTCCTTATATAAAGCCTATTCATTATGTGATTTATATCCTTCCACTTCTGTATTCATACAAAGATTTTTCACTGTTTCGTTCTACTGGTTTCTGAGAGACGGTCATTTAAAATCTTCCACTTGGGAGTGGATTGACCAAATTCTCAAATGCCTGTCAACATCTGTGATATTATTAGGATATATTGTTCAGTGCTGAGAATTTTTATAGCTCTTTAGTAGATTTTTCATTTATTTATTGTTTAATAGGCCTCGTAAAAGGGAGCTCTGGTGATGTAGTCTGTAGGGAGTTGCACCGATTACTCAAAGGCACCTCTCTGCTGGGCCAGTCCACCAGCTGTTCTGCAGGAAATAGCTGAACAGCTTCTTCCTGTGTGATTTCCGACCTGAGAAGCCTGCTTGGAGAATCAGCTGTGATTCAGTTCAGACTCCATAGCAATGAGTTTTGAATTTTTGGAATCCTCTTAATCTATATTTAGGAGGAACAAGAGACGCACACCTGGGTCTATGTGGTTATGCTCAGATACACCAGACATGCAAAGCTGTGGACACTCAGAACACGCACTGGGAGTTACCTACACGTGGAGTGGTCCACCTCCCGAGCTTCCCATCGCCCAGTGCCGGGTCCTGGAGGAAGGAGAGCTGCTGGGGCAGGCCCAGTTTCCAGTCCCCTTTTCCTAGAGAGCAACCTGTCAGAGTCTCAGCCAGGCGGGGTTCTGGAGGGTGGAGCACCAGTGTACCCAGGCCAAGCCAAGGGCTTCTGGGCACAGGAAGCCACTTGCTTGGCCTGCTGGGAGGTTTGGGGGGCCTGTTGCTGGGACAGGTCTGTTCTGGAGCCTTGGGACACACTGACAGGCACAGAGCTACCTTCTACCAACTGACCTGGGGGAGAAGGATGTTGGGATCCTGGAATGACTGGAAATTGGTATTAAGTCCTCCAGATCTGTGTCAGTGTTTCTCTGTAGAGAGAGGGAGACTTCTGGAAACACAACCTCCTCGGCCACTCTGTGTGATGACATAGCTGAGCCTCTCCTGGGAGCACTGGGCTGGGGCATAGTGATGGTGTCTGTTCCCATCCAGGGCACCTGCATACAGGGCAGGATGATAACTTCCCTGCCAGAGGAACCAGCGGTTTCTATTGCTTCAGACTAGCTGTGTGGATTTTCACTCTTCCATTTTATCATGAAATAGAAGATCTAGGACATACAAAACAACTTTAAAACAGAGAGGTTTTTTTGTTTTATTTTCTCCCAGTAACAAGTAACCACAACTTGGATTGACTCTATTTAGGTAATTGTTGAGTCAAACCAACTCAAATCTGATCCTTGAGACGGTTTTCAGAGGCAATAAATTGCGAGGGAGGAAATTGTGAGTGTATAGGTACTGGAAGGAGAGGCAGGAGATGGTGAAGCAATCAGGGAAGGCTTCCTGAGGGTGGGGTTGGATGGAGAAGATGATTAACAACCACATGGCTTGGAGCTACACACTCTGGGCAGTCAGAAAGAGGATGCCTCTGGAGCTCCCAGACAAGGGGCCAATCCCTCCTCCACTTCCCTGGGCTCTGAGCCTGGAACCAAGACTTCTCAGTTCTGCTCATTTTATGTGGAAAGCTGTGCCTCTGGGTGGGAATTTGGTCTCTTAGTCCTTCGTGGAGGGAACTTGAAGTGATTACAGTTACCACAATAGTGAGAGGCAAAGTGGGTGGGGAGTCCAAGGCTGGCTTAGGGCTTCCCATTTATTCCATTAACCATCTGGGAAGGGTTGGGTTTGGGACTGCTGCCAGCCTGCAATTAGGCCAACCCTGAAGATAGAGCGGTGGGGGAGGGGGGCCCTGAGCTTCCCTAGCGATCAGATGCACAGGTGATAGGAGTGGGGACACTAGGACAGGACCCCAGTTACTACCTCATCTCCATGGAACTGTCCCGACTACAGAACTTCTCTTAGAGGGTCCAGTCTCCCTCACTCCTACCACTGTCCCCAGCACATCTTGTTCTGGCCTTCCCCTCTACCTGTCCCAAATTCTGGGATTGTGTTGGACGCCCAAGAAATCTCTCAGATCTTCCAATTCCCCCACCACTCTGCAGTGTGAACATAAAAGTGGATTAATTTTTTCAGATTGCAAAACTGAAGACCCCAAAGTGGAAAATATTTGTCTCTGACAACAAAGGCTGTAAGTGGAACTCAGAACCTGAACTCTGGGTTCCTGCCTCCACTTACCCAGCTTTGGGGTGAGAAGAAAATCTCCGACTGGGGGCTGGCTGGCTTGAGGGCTACAGCTCTAGGGTCCACCAGGAGGGGTAGGGAGGGACATGAGTCATTCTCCCAGCAGTCTAGGGCCCAGACAAAGACGGGAAGAGAATTGTTCTGTAAGATGGCCTCAGGGTGAGGCCAGGAACACTGATTGGGTGGAGGCAGCCCCCACTTTGGATTTTGCCCCCGGCCTTGGAGCACCCAAGTGTCCTCTGGGTGGGAGGCGGGAAAGCTGCCGGTCTGGGCTGTTTTGTGATAGCAGCCCCGACTGGAGAGAGCAGCCACGTTCAGGCATCTTGGCAAGTGGGACTTTGCCAGCTTGGACCAGCTGCCCTGGTGGGTGCACATGGGGCTGTGCAGGGCTCCCTAGGAGGGTCCTGGGGTGGCACAGGGGGACGGCTCAGTGACCTCATTTCAGCTCCCACTCCCTTCTTTTTCCATGAGTCATCTTTCTAAAAGTGACCTAGGAGTGAGTGGTAGCCAGACGGTGGTGACGGTGGGGCTATGTGACCAGGGCAAAGGAGGGAGGGAGGGATGGAGGGATGGAGGGGCTAGAGTCAGCCACCTGGAGAGAGAGTGAGAGACAGAGATAGAGACAGAGACAGAGAGGGTAGTAGAGTCAGAGAGTAGAGGCAGCCAGGGAGCAGGCAGTGGGAAGGACAGGGAGCTGGGAAATGCCTAGCTGAAGGAGCTCTGGGCTCTAGGATTTCCAGTTGCAGCAGAGGATGTGATACAATGTGCTCTACTTGAGAGTGTAAAACGGTAGAACCCCTCTCCCCATTTGCTACCCACTCTCACACCCCATGCCTGGGCTTCACTTCACCCCCTTCCCCATTACCTTGGTTATACTCAGGGCACCTTGACCTAGATGGGAACTTCCTACAGTGTATACCCCAGACCTCTCTGACCTCTGGGCCAATGGGATAGGGCCTTGGCAGGATTAGGGACTGAGCTCAACTACTGGTGGGGAGAGGGAAGAGGGCTTGCATTACAGACCCAGGCTGCTGTTTAAGCAGCTTGCACAGAACGAGGAGCCCTGGTGGTGTGATCTGTAGGGAGTTGGGATGTTAATCAAACCCACCATTTGGTCTGAGAAAGATGGGGAATCCTCTCCCAAGTGATATAGCCTCAGAACCCTGCTGGGCAGGTGGTCAGCTGTGAGCTGGTCTGGCAGGAAGACACTGAGTTTTATAGTTTTGCGCAGGACTTGCCCCTTCTGGGCGGTAAGGGGTGCTGTGAAGGTCTTTGAGGTGCCATCTTCCTTGCTCACAGGCCTGTTGTCCTCTGCTCTCTGCAGCTGGCCTCTGGAGTGAACGCGGGCCAGGGCCTGGGCATCGAGATCATCGGCACCCTGCAGCTGGTGCTGTGTGTGCTGGCCACCACCGACCGCAGACGCCGCGACCTGGGAGGCTCGGGCCCGCTGGCCATCGGCTTTTCTGTGGCCCTGGGACACTTGCTGGCGGTAAGTGGGAGGCCTCCTCAGGTGGGAGTCGGGGTGCCAGAACAGCTCAGGAGACTGATGGGGAGGACTCAGTGTGGGCAGAGCATGAGACCCCCAACATGGTTCATGTATGACAGGTCAGCTCCTCGAGGCTGGGGGAGCAGGCTGGTGGCCAGGAAGGGGAGACTCAGAGCCCTTGTGTCCCCCTCTCTCTGGGTCTGGTCATCCCTTGCTGTCTCTACTCACTGTGTTTTGGGTTTTTTCCCCCTCCTGTCTTCTTTTTCTCCCCCTGCCGTTCTCTATCATGACTTCACCTTTCTGTTTTCTATCCCTCTCCCTCTCCATTTTCCTCGTCTTGCTTTCTCTTCGTCTCTGTCTCACTGCCTCTAACCCTTCTTTTGATGTCATTTCCCCTCATCCCCACCCTGCCCCGTTTCTCTCGACCTCTCTCCCTCTCTTTTCCTCTCTCCTCTGTCCTCACAGATCGACTACACTGGCTGTGGCATTAACCCCGCTCGGTCCTTCGGCTCTGCAGTGATCACCAACAACTTCTCTGACCACTGGGTAGGTGGCCTGGGGCCTGTGCCGTGGAAGGGGGTGGGAGATGTTTTGCTGTGTGATCAACATGACCGATGACCCCTGAGCTGCCCTTCCCCACTGCTGGGGCTCAGGTGACAGCTGGGCAGAGGTGTTGTCACTGTTGTGCAGATGAGGAAACTGAGGCTTCAGAAGAGGGTGAGGTGGAGTCACACAGCGTGCAGTGGCCCCCCGCTGACCTGGGGCTGTTGGGAGGATGCGGGGAGCCTCTGTCATAAAACAAGCTCAGCGCTGAGCAAAAAAAGTTCTACAGGTTGTAAATGATTCTGCTCCAAGACATGGTTTTATCAAAACTAAACCATCTCTATGGTGGTTGTGTTCCTGAGATTTTTGCGATTTTCTTTTTAAGTCCCCACCCAAATAAACAAAAATCAAGACGATCTCTGTGACCTTACTGGAGCTGGGTCAGGCAGTAGCTGTCCTCAAGACAAAGCTGGTGCGGACTGGGCAGGTCACTGTGTCATGAGGACAAACTTCTAATTCTTGGACACCTGGCATCGGCATGCTTGTTAAGACAGTAGAAGTCTTAGAGACCAAACACAGCTCTGAAGTGTTGATGTATGTGCTTGGAGGCCAGAAAAATCTTCCCTAAGCCCATATATCTCCCATTCTCCACCTGCCACTTCTCCTCTCCAACGACCACTGAATGAATTTTGACTCCTGGTGACCCACGTGTGTCACAGTCTGCACTTACTCTGTAAAGTTTTCAATGACCAATTTTCTAGGAGCAGCTCATCAAGTCTTCTTCTGAGCGTCTTTTGGTTGGACTTGAACCGTCAACCTTTATGTTAGTGACCAAGTCTGTTAACTGCTTGCATCACTTTTTATAGGTGTACAAAATTCTACCCTTAGTTGTCCCTGTGTTGGGTTTCAGCATTACAGACCTCTGCCCCAGACACCTATGAGAAGTGGGGTAGAATGTCTCCAGGGTGTCTGTGAGGAGGGAAAAACAAGAGAAAGCTTTCCAGGAGGGGGAGACCAGATGCCCACTGACCAGCCCTGTTCTGCTTCTAGATCTTCTGGGTGGGGCCGTTCATTGGGGGAGCCCTGGCCGTGCTGATCTACGACTTCATCCTGGCCCCACGCAGCAGCGACCTCACGGACCGTGTGAAGGTGTGGACCAGTGGCCAGGTGGAGGAGTACGACCTGGATGCAGACGACATCAACTCCAGGGTGGAGATGAAGCCTAAATAGAGGGGGGCCTGACCTGGGCATCCACCGTGGGGGCGGGGCAGGGGCGGGGCGGAGGGAGGGGAGGGGTGAAACCATATTGTAGACACTCTGACAAGCTGGCCAAAGTCACTTCCCAAAGATCCACCAGACCTTCATGGTCAAGCACAATTTTGGGGTGTTTCTGTCACTTTCTTTCTCTTTCTCTATTTCCTGGCCTCAGGGCTTCCTGGGGACCAAGGCTGTTAACCAATCATCCACTCCTCTAGAGTAATGGAGGAGGTGAGAGAGAGGAGCTCGCTTGCTAAGTCGTCCCTTCAGGATGTAATGGGAGGTGTGCCAGAAAGTCCCCCTCATCCCAAAGTCGCTCACAAACTCACCTGCCACAGGTGCCTGGGGTTCCACCTTTATTGTTTTTCACCTCTGGGGTGTGGGCCTCTTTCTCCCAGCATGCACTTTGCAAGTGCTTTGATGGGAGAGATCCCAGTCCATGAAGTGGTAGGGGCCAAGTGACAGACAATCTTTCCCCTTTTTGTTTAGCTTGCTCCTAGGGCCCTCCCTCTTTGGACTTGCTGCACGTTGTAGGAATATCTCCTATTTCAGGGCCTCAGTGATCCCGTCTGTACAATGGATGGGTCAGGGTGAGTTCTGAGGCCCATCTGTAGGTTCTCTAAGCGTAAACACACTATGGGTTTAGGGGACATTCTCTAGACCAACACTGCTTCTTCCACTTTACCTGTGTTCTTTCCTCAATATATAGTTGTACCTGCACACATATGTGTCCTTGTGTCACACACAAACACACACATTTCAAAGCAAAGACTAATGGACAGTGTAGGTCATGGCCATCCAGGTCATGACCCCTGAGAAGTGGCTGCACCAGACCAGACCATGAGGACCACATAGAAGGTGAAGGAGGAAGTCCAAATTTCCTTAGTAAGATTTCAGGTGGTCTTGTCCAACTGCCTCACCATCACCTTGGTAGTGGCTTCAGAAATCTTGCCAGCAGAGCACAGGTCATTAGCAAACATATGAGTGGACTACCTGAAGACCCAAACACGAGGTCAGAAAGGCCTTAGTGAGGACCAGCCCACAATGGCAGATTATCTCTGACAGATACAGAGGGAGTTTCCAAATTCACAGGTGATCCTGAGAAGGAGGAGAGAATTTCCCTGGTTGGAGGGGCTCAGGGGAAGTAGGCAGCTTACACTGGGTTGTTGAGTGGTCCCAGCCAGAGCCTGTCCCACCTAACTGACCTGGAGGGTGAGCCAGCCTTGACATGGTGCAGTTCAGTTCTGGTGCAGCTCAAAGGTAGTGCAGAATCGGAATCAGCAGATTCAGGGCCTGATTCTTCGGCTCAGCTCTCTCCACAAGCCCATTCATTCCACCAGGATCAGAGCAGTTCAACTACCTGTGACTTGAGCTCAATGGGAAGTAAAACCAGGAGATGTGATTGACTAGGAGGTTCTTAACAGGCACCCAGATGAAGCCCCCACAGCCAGAGAGTGGTATGACCAGGCCTGGCATCAAAGCCATGCTCCGCTCCTTCCTGGACTGTGAATTCAGCCTGACTCCTTCTCAGCTTCTGGGTTTACATGGAGGTAAAGGACAGAAGCAAAGAAGGATGAGAAGGGTTGTGACAGAGGGGATAGGGTGTCAAACCTGCTCTCTGCCTGGTTCTGCCCACTGCAAACACAACCCTGCATCTGTCTGCTCTGCATTTATGTCTCTCTGGAATGGAAATTTCATTCTGTTAAGGAAATAAAGGAAAATGACTGATAAGGTCTCTCAGGCTCCTTGCAGTTTTCTCTTACCATCCCCACAGTGGGTCTCTGGGTTTAAGAGATTGGTTCCCAGCACAAGGCAGCCATCTGAAGGGGCCGACATCTGCCACATCCCCAAAACACATCTGACCACAGTTCTGGCCAGGGGAATTGTGATCTCAAGGAGCCATGATCCTGTCCTCATTCCAGGACCTGGGATTACTTCTGGAATCTGACAAGAAGCTGTGGCTGTCGGAGTTCTGAACAGTTTAAATGGGATTTTGGTGACCCGTTTTTGGTTCTGGAGTATGAAAGTGATGGGGTAAAGCAAGATTAAAGTCTGACAGCCTGAGTCCTAAAGACTGGCCAGGCCTCTCTCCTCGTCTTCTTCAGTCACACTTCCTGACCTATTCTGGGCAGTGAGCCCGCGGGGGAGCTCAGTCTCATGGAAGAGACAGAATTGCCCTTTGCTGTTAGTGAGGGCAGTGCTATGTCCAGGAATCCTCGAGGCACCCTGGATAGGGTGGGCCTGAGTGAGGAAACGGAGTCTGGTTTTAGAGCTCCAAGAAGGGCTGTGGTATTGAGCTCAACTAGGAGTGTAACCTTCAGTAGCTAAGAGGGGAAGGACAATTTTGTCCTTTTGTTCTTAACTCTAATGTCCTTCAGGGAGACTCAGCTCCTGCAATCACAAGGCATGGAGGGTGTTCATCTCTCTGTGGAGGGTTGGTGGCTTTCATCAGCCTCCCAAGGGGTTGGTCCATCAGAGAGAGCCTGTGAACAGAAGTCAAAGGGCTTGGATTGTGCCTTGAGGGTGACAGGAAGCCTGTGAAAGGAGCTTGCTGCACTCCTGCCTCAGCACCTGGCCTTGTCTAGCCCCAAGGCCTGTGTCGGCTGAAAGATGCTGACCCATCCTCCCACGCTCACAATGCCCCATCCTATTCAGTCTCCTGAACATGGAAGCCATGAGCATGTTCATCAACAGAGGAGAGAAGGGATCATCATCCCTTTATCATGAGTCATACTCAGTGCCACAGGAGACGTTTATATCAAGCTGACGTTTGGACTTGAGTACCTGGTTCCCTCTCTTTCTTTCATCCATACACAAAGAGAGAACCTACACATTTATATTTTCAGAACAGGGCTAACTACATTGGAAAATTGAATAACAGTATATGAGAGAATCCATGGCCCCCCACTGAAATCATGCATCTGGCTTTGAAAGGCATCCATTTTTGGGAAATCTCACCAAGTAACAGAGGCAGATATTCTCCTAGATGTGGATGAGCAAGGAAGGGATATCTGGGATTATCTGTCATCCACACTCCCAATACTGCTTCTCTTCTGGAGGACTCGGCTCATGGAGGCATGGACATCATCTCACCCCATAATGGCCCAGTCAGTGCTGGAGGGGCAGAGATTGGGTCACTTCAATGGAACTCTCAGTTCTCACTATGTGTTCTAGCTACCTATCCAAACCTCTGCTCATCCGTCCCCACCTCAAACCCATTCCACACTTTCTAAGTCTCTATTTTCAGGAGGCAAGGCCTTAAGAAGATGGAAGAAGCTTCTATTTCTTGAGGCTTTACCGTGTATGTAGAGCCTATCTGAGCCTTTACATAATTATCTTAAATCTTTTCAGTGTCCTTGTAACACAAGATGATTGCTCCATTTACAGAGGTTGCTGAGGTGCTTAAAAATGGAATTATTTGGACAATGCCATCAAGTTGATGGCAGGATTGGAGTCTAGAACTTATGTCTAAATGGCGGCCAAGTTGGAACTCTTTCTTCTATGTGGTGCTGGCTCTTTATGATCAGCACTCATTTTCAGTGTGGGCCAGCCTCAAAGTCAGATTTCCTCTGTCCACAGAGTGAGAGGCTGGAGAAAAGGAGAATGGCCAGATGAGGCTCGTAGAACATCAGGGCGGAAAGCTGTTTTCATTCCAAGAGCAGCTGAATGAGATGTCCTCTTGAAACACACTGACATCACCTGACACAAGGGTTCCAAGCTATTCACCTTGCACAGACACCATCCACCTCCCACAGTGTTCCCCAAGGCCTAACTCCTCCCTCTGGGAGGAGAATGCCTGATAAACTTGCTCACCTGGAGTTGTCCTCTTCTACCAACAATATATAAGAAGGAAGAAGGTCAGTGCTGCACCTTGAGGAATAATAGTGCACTATAGGATATCCACTCAGATATCTACTTGATATTGGGAGCAATATCTTTGAGTCTGAGCCTATTCCAGATACCCTCTCATCTTCCTGTCCTAGGGCCATCCTTGACTGCTCTGTTAATGTTCTGTCCAATCCAGCATAGAGAGAGGCTTTGGGATAAGGGACTGGGTGTGAAACTCCTTGGACAGCAGGTGCCCTTCTCTGTGCCCTTTTCAGATTTTAATGGAGAGAAAAAAATTCCTGAAAGCTTCCATGACTCAATCCTTGTCCCAGGCTTCTAAGCCTACAGGAGGCTGCACAGATGAAGTCATTTGGAACCTGTGCAGCCTCCTGTAGGCTTAGAAGGGAAGGGCACACATTACTACCCTCAGATACAGCTTGCTTCCTCCATTGGACTCCCTGATGTCTCATCTCCAAGACCTGAACACAGAGTGGTTCCGTTAGACTGGAAGGAATTTCATCTGCATTTGGCCTAGAAAGAAGCAGAAATTATTGAGTAGCCCTTGATTTTGTCTTTCCATTAAACTCACAAGAGTAAAAAGTTGTGGTTCCATGATTCCTCTACTTATTCTGAGGTCTCCTAGGAGCCCTGGCCCAGACCAGACAATTTTCCAAAACACTTTAGAGTCACATTGGAAGGTTCCTGTGATGAATCCTTGTAACAGTCTGAGTTTGAACTGGAGGCACACACATATGTGATGACAAACATTGCATCACTCAATCTCGAGTTTTGAAACGCCAAGACTTTGGATTCTTGTTTCCCTTTAGGGAACTAATTTTCTTCTCTAAGATCAAGATAATTTCCCCTCTCTTGACTTTACAAAGATAACAAAGTCTAAGAGGAAGAGAATGAAGCTTTAAAGACATTGTTGGATCAGTTAACAAAGCTTTTATCTGTATCTAAAGCCATCACTGATCCAACCTGAAAACTCCTAAGGTTGAAGAAGGCCCAGATAAAAGAAAACAAGTGGCTCCAAGTACCCAGAATCTAGAAAGCTCCAGTTTGTTCCAAGAGAGCGTAAATAAACGGGTGTGGGTGGCTCAAGACATCTCCTTACCCTTTGGCCCCAAGAACCATGGCGACTT